GGATTGGGTGGAGGGTCATGTTTTGTTCTGGTGTTCATTTGAGGTACATGGATCCCTGGTCATGCTTTTGTTTTGGGGTCATGTGCTTCGCACTATTAGGTTGGTACTACTAGTAACAAGAAACTACTAGTAACAGAACGAAACAACTCGCAGCTTTGGACCACATGTTTCGTGCTTTGATGGAAGAACTATATACAGTATATAATATAGATGTTTGCGCGGGTTGGAGACACGTTAAACTGAGCAAAATCATATGGCACCAATCTTCAAGAATGCGTGTGCATTCTGTCATACTCTGTCTATCATGAGAAAACAAATAAAGCCACTAGGGTCTCCACCACCTGTGGTGATCCTGGGAGCCCATCGATCTTGCCACCAGAACCTTGCTCTGAACAGCGCATCCTATGAGCGATGTGCTCAAAGGTTCTCTTGTTGCACAAGCTGCTCAGGCAATATTGACCCAAAGCAAGACACACAAACAATTCAACCTTTCATCAACCGCTCCCCAAAAGTAAGCTTTATATAACTGTTCAAACCTTTGCCGGATTAGGCACTCATGCATGTTTTGAGAAGTAGGCTCAGAATCTAGCGGCCGCTCCTAGTTTCTGAGCCATGGCACAAACTGTGTGAAGGTGGAGCCAGGGAACACTAACCTCCGGATAAGGCACGACCAGTTGACACACAGGCTTAAATTTAGGTTGATTAATCAAACCATCCATTGATAAAATCGATGCAACATGGTGCAAACAAGACTTTCCTGACAAAAAATGGGTTCAATCAGATCAATCCTCAGTGTCTCCAAATGGCTGAACAATCCTGAGGAAGGTTTGCACTATGGCCATGGCTAGTTGGGCTGCGTGCAGGCACTGGCGCACAGGGCCTGTTCTGGTACCGGCTGTGACTCAGCACAAGAATGACATTTCATTTGCATGATACCCTTCTATGTATGATGTTGGCCGCAAATTGAATTGTTTTCGAGCTCTTCCGAAGCACAATCCCAAGTATGGCTTGCTTCTTATATGATAGCACTTCCTAACAGAGTTCCAGAAGGCTGTGGGCGCTCTGCAAAGCATCATCTCTAATTCTGCCCACATTTCAGCATGAGTCGTGGCATCAAAGCCTTGTCCCGGTTTTGGAACAGCTCACAAAAAGCACCATTCCTGTCTCATCCGCACCTGGATCGACGACTTCACCTGCATGATGGCTGCCATTGGTTCTCGCTTATACAGTTTAAAGTTTAAACATGTTTAAACACATACACACACATTTACACATTCACACACACAAACGCACATTCGAGTGCTTTTAGCTTTGGTTCACTAAGCTTTGGGGAGCATATGCATCTTTATGCATCCTGCAATGGTCACAACACCAACAGCCCAACCATCGATCCACTTCGGCCCTAAACATCAACATGTTTGTGGACATTGATCAACATGGCATTGAAGGGGTTGGAACGAATCACAGTACACATGAGCGAGGTTCAGCCCAAGGAAATGGCATGTGTTTATGTTTCAATTTCAACTTCTGAGAACGCTTGTCCTGAGAACCCGATAAGGCTGTAGCAGCACTGCTTCGTCAAAAAAATCAAAACAAACTATATAGAACTGACCATGTCACCAAAGCCAAAGCTGATAGAGGAACAAAGGACATGCACCCAAGTCATGCATTCCTTTTGAAGAGGCCAACATGCAGTCCGTTGATTGGTCTCTCTATCTCATGGTCAATGCC